CCAGCAAAGGACCAGCTTAAACCAGCATCCCAGCGTCAAAACATACCTAACCAGCATATGCTGGTTTTTTCAACAGGGGAGTTGAACACTGCACTGCCATAATGATACTGATCCACTGCCATGGACGTGGATCAATATCATATTCTATGTAAAGGATCTAAATTAACGTTTTATGTAAATTACACTGATACTAATAATGTGTTTTGTTAGTCTTTCTGTCTTCTGAATTCAGTCATACAGGTACTGATTGCATGAGTCAAAGCGACAGACATCATAACAAAGTTATTGTTCTCGGTGTGAACAGGCCAAGAAAGCCTCATTCTTCTATTCTATTCTATTAAAATTGAATAATGACTAGGTGACTAAGTGGTACTTAGTCTGATAGACTGATTTAATCAGACACGGTCAGGCTTGGTTTGAAAAGTTTGAGGACTGCTGCTCTAAAATATTAAACTTGATAGCCCATCAGATTTACATCTTTTGAAATTATTAATTTGTGTGATTTGTGTCTTTCTAGATTTATTATTGGGAGTTTCAGCTGCAGAATGAGACTGAGCGACTCCGCACTCTCTTTCTGCCGGAGCTGAGCGTGAAGCTGAAGAACTTGACTGGCTACACCAACTACATGATCAGCGTGGCTGCTTTCAACGCGGCAGGCGACGGCCCGCGCTCGCTGCCCACCAGAACTCCTGAAACATTGGTGTCTCATATTTTAAAGCAGTCAATGCAATTTGGGAAAGAAATCAATCGTATCTGTATGTGTGTGAAAATATTCAGATATAGGCCTAATCCCCTTCGTAATTGAGACTGAGCGACTCCGCACTCTCTTTCTGCCGGAGCTGAGCGTGAAGCTGAAGAACTTGACTGGCTACACCAACTACATGATCAGCGTGGCTGCTTTCAACGCGGCAGGCGACGGCCCGCGCTCGCTGCCCACCAGAGGGCGCACTCAGCAAGCAGGTGATCCGCTGGACACAAGTCCATGCAAAATACATCAATCAACAAGCACGGAAGTGACCTTCATGCTAAACCCGCTTAGTCTGAAATGCTTTGGGAGAATTTTCTACATCTTTGATCCCACTGTTTTCCCAAAGCTCCCTGCTGAAAAGGGTATTCATTTTCAATTGGACGGATCACATCATACTGATTGCATGAGGGCTGTTGTGTTAGACTGTGAAGGAGATGGGTTGTCTCTGAGTATTGGGGGTAGTGTGAAGGAACGGAAGCTTGTGACAGTTCGTTTAGGATGGGGAGCTGGGAACTGGGTTGGAGAAAATGGGCCACATATTGAGGAAGTGCTTTTTGGCAGGTCAGCATAAGGAGAACTGTGTTCCAAGTGATTGAGAAAAGTTAATTCAGCCTTTTCCGCTCCCTTAAAGACTGTGACAGTATAGTGAGGAAGGAACAATGAGAACAGTACAAGCGAGACTGAATCTTGGCTCAGCTTACACTAAGACACTGGGAGATGAGCCAATACGAGCCCCCGTGCCAATCTTCCGGAGGGCAAACAAACTCCTTACATTACTGCAACATTAACCTGACCTCTAACAGAAGAAGAGTGCTTAAATATACATGTGCTGAGAAGTTATTTTTTATTTATTTTATTTTATTCTGCGTCTAGCTGTATCCACCTGCCAATAGTGGCTGAATTGCTAAAAAAATATAAATAATGTAGGAAAAACATTCTTAACAGAACAGTATCTAGATAATATAGCATTTTACAACACTGTTCAAAAGTTGAATGTCTTTTTTTTTTAAGGAAATCAATACTTATATTTAGAACTGATGCATTAAATTGATCAAAAATGACAGTAATAGTGAAAAGTGTATGATTGTTTTTACAGAAATCACAAGCTGCAATGTTTTCAACATTGATGATAATGAGAAATGTTCCTTGAGCAGCAGATCTGCATATTAGATATAATTTCTGAAGGATCATGTGACTCTGAAGACTGGAGTAATGATGCTGAAAATTCAGCTCTGCATCACAGGAATAAATTACATTTAGCATACACTTAAATGGAAAACTATTGTTTTAAACTGTAATAATATTTAACAATATTTCTGTTTTTACTGTAGTTTGATCAAATAAATGCAGCTTTGCTAAGCAGAAGAGACTGGTTTAAAACATTGCAAAATCTTGCTCCCAAACTTTTAAACAGTAGTGTGTATGATAAAGAAAATACTTTTTTTCTTTAAATATTTATGACACGCTGCTCTGGACCATACATCATATATAGGCTAATCTCAATTTCTGTGTGAAACTGCAACTGTTTAAAAAAAAAATGTGTATACCTATTATTGTTTCCTTCCACATATTTTAATATTTCTATGTTAATGCAAAATGTGTTTGTGAAGGAAAAAAAACCCTGAGACACTCTAGATAAAATATTGATACCTTTATTGCCTGAGATAAATGTGATTGTAAGCTTTTTTTCTGTAGTAAAACCTGTCAAAGGACACACAACAGATTTAGATTTTTGTAGACTCACATCACTTACTTCAGCACGATTCATATTATTGATCTTACAATTTGATTTATACCATGTATTATGTTGCAGTTCCTAATAAAGTTACCGGCCAACTGCGAGTAACTGTTTTATTTACTCACCAAGGTCAATTTTTACTCCCATTTGGCAACTGTTCATTTTGAGCCCTGGCTAGCTCTATTGAAATCAGTCAATCAAAATGCACTTTCGTGAAATCGTGTTCAGGGTTTAATGAGATCTTCTTTTACTCCACAGCTCCAAGCGCTCCTAGTTTTATCCACTTTAGTGAACTCACCACCACCTCGGTCAACATGTCCTGGGGTGAGCCCAAGCAGCCCAACGGCATCGTGGAAGGGTACCGTGTGGTCTATGAGCCCTGCACGCCTGTGGATGGTGAGAAACTACACCACACTAAAAGCTTTGGCTGAGCAAATTATTGAGATAACTTTTAGTCAGCAGCTGATTTACACCCTTTTAGGCCCGTCATGCTTTTTTAAACTTACAAATGTCTGAAATTTGCTCTCCAAATGTGTTCAAGATGAGGCTTCTTTTGGCATTTAATGAATGGCATTCCTCTGTGGCGTTCCCTCCCTTTGCCCTGTTATTGAGCAAGGCATGGTTAAAAAATTGCCAAGTGTGGTGCATTGGCCAAATTCCACTGTAATTGGGATCAGAGGAGGAATTACTGTGGTCCCATAATGGCTCCAGAGTGGTCAAGGCTTTGGGGGGAAACAGATGTGCTAGGCTGCTGTTTACCAATGGCCGTATCTCAGAATCTGGAGGATACGCCTCAAAGGCAAAGGCCCAGCTTTCTGTGCCGTGCCGTACTGAGCCGTACCGAGCCGAGTCGTACCACGCAGTGGAAAAGCGCCATTAGTTTAACCCCTAGAGCATGACCTCGTGCAATGTTCACACGTATGGGAATTTGCCTGTAAAACCCTAAAAGCAATACCTGTGCGTGTAAAGCAACAAAATAATAGATTGTAAATGTAATTTCAGCTTAGGTTTTAGTTTTTGCCTTTGCTTTTGCACAAATTAAAGGATAGGATAAAATGCATTGTTATAGGCCATGGTCAGAAATATATATAATGTGAACGAGAACACATACAACAATGCTTTAAACTGTATGCTATACTGTTGACATACGATCTTATCGTGTTGTATGTATTTCAAATCTGATAATGGGCCGAAAACCAAATTGCTCAAATTACGTCTGGCACATTCAGCACACTAAAAACGGAAGGTCAAGTCACGTGCATTGCATTGTGGGATACAGAACCCTACCTAGTATGCTTTGTTGCATACTGGACATTTTAGATCAATGTAGATCAATTAGATATTCTATGCATACAGGGAATTGGCATACTAGTGCATAAATTGGCATAGATAGACCAATTACAAGTCAGTATGCAAACAGCTGTAAGAAAGAAGACCAATAGTAATTCAAAATGCAAATATTAACATTGTTATGACTATCAGACATGTTGAATACAGAACTTTCTATCAGTGTAAGCCAATGGAAGATCCTTAATTAAAACCTTAATTTCAGATAATACAAAAATATAACCAGAATTTTAATGCCGTTCTATTAAAATACACTTTCTTTTAAAGTTTTGGGGTCAGTACAAATTTTTTTCATCTTTTTGAAAGAAGCCTTTTATGTGCAACAGGGTTTTGAATACCACATTTGCAGTTCATTTGAATATATAAAATAATAATAATAATAGTAATAATAATAATAAAAAATAATACAACTGTAATGTTGTGAAATATTATTACAGTTTGAAATAATTGATTTCTATTGTAATATATTTTAAAATGTAATTTATTCCTGATCAATTTAATGCATCCTTGATGAAGAAAAGTATAAACTGCTTTTGAAAAAACTTACTGACCTCAAACTTTTGAACAGGAGTGTGTGTTAATATAACTCAATAATATCAATACAGTGCAGTGTAATAATGAGTGTTTGTATGTGTCATTATTAGTGTTTTACTCTAGCATGGTATCTAGAGTTTGAGTGTTTCCTCTACAGACTCCTCTCCTCACAATTCAGGTGTCAGTAAGGTTGTCACTGTGGATGTGAAGGGCAGCGCCCCCTTGTGGATGAAAATCAAGGATCTGGCCGATGGCGTGACCTACAACTTCCGCATCCGTGCTAAAACCCTTACCTATGGCCCAGAGATCGAAGCCAACATCACCACTGGCCCTGGAGAAGGTCTTGTTGCCCTGCATTTTGCTCCATATTTGCTATTTTGTAATAAATCTAAAGCTGAAGTGTATCATTTCTGCACCACTAGCATCTTATTTCCATTATTTGTGACACAGGTGCTCCAGGGCCTCCGGGGGAGCCGTTTATCTCTCGTTATGGCTCGGCCCTGACTCTCCACTGGTCCAGCGGTGACCCTGGCCGTGCTCCCGTCACACGCTATGTTATCGAAGCAAGACCATCTGGTAAGTGAAAAAGAAAACAGCAGAAGTTGTTCAGAAACGCAACATTTAAGGTCGTTACAAAAGGAATAATGGCATTCTAACCATCAACAGATGAAGGACTGTGGGATATTCTAATCAAAGACATCCCTAAAGAGGTGACATCCTACACTCTTAACCTGGATACCCTCAGAGAAGGGGTCACCTATGATTTCCGTGTAATTGCGGTGAATGACTATGGCTACGGTTCTCCAAGTGCTCCTTCTCCTTCAATATCAGGTCAGTAAACTTGCACGGCAGAAACATCCTAAATGGTCTTGTGTTATGTTGTGCAAACCCATTTTTCTGCTTCTTTTCCCTTTTACCAGCCCAAAAGGTCTCCCCCTTTTATGAGGAATGGTGGTTTCTGGTGGTTATTGCTCTCGTGGGCCTCATTTTCATCCTTCTGCTCATCTTCATCCTCATCATACGGGGGCAGAGCAGAAAATACACCAAGAAAACAGACTCAGGTGGGTTGATAAGCCAAAAACACTGAAAACAGATCCATAATATCTCTCAATTACCCTGATTGCCCTGTCATTCTCTGCTGACTCACGTGACTAAATTGAAATGGACTCAAATTTAGCTCCATTTTTCCCATCACTGATGGGTATTGCCATGGTGCTCTGGGAAAAAGTGATTTTCCACTCGAGAGAGGCTCAAAGAATCAATAGTAGCGTCTGTTTGCGTCAATTGGTTGTGGTCATTACTATCAACATGATTGCTGACTCATTTTGCTGTCTCACAGGGAGGCAGTCTGCTGCCTTACGCAAAATTACATCACTTATCATTTCATGTCTTGTCTCAGTTTAAGAAAGGAGATAATCAAGTCTTTTCTCACTATTCTTTAGTAGTTTCACACAAAACTCTATGGTTTTTGCCATTTAAATGGACCACAAACCCTTAAGGCCACAACACACCAAACCAACATAAAAGAACTAGCGGTGATGAAAGCAGACTGTGTTGTCGCGTCACATTGTGTGCATCTGGGCCAGAAAGTTGAGTTTGATCACAGGATAAAGACTACGGCCAACCAACGCATACATGCAGCACCTGTGTCAATAACTCTCCATACCAGCAGGTGGCAGTAGTGTGTATTAATCATTCAGAGAGGTAAACCAAAAACTAGGACTGCATACATGCAAACTTCAATTTCTAGATGGCCATGTCATTATGAAAATGTAGCCCTCTGTTTGAGACCTCTTGACTTTGTCATTTGCTTGCTTTCATTACTTTTATTTTTCTTCTCGCACACTGGTTTGCTAAATTGAACAGCCAATCAGATTGATCTATGTCACTGACACCTAGTGCCAATGGTGTGGAACACACTGCAAAAACTGAGTTGACAGGCTCTAAACGATGGACCAACATTGGCTGACGACCGACCATTGGCTTGGTGTGTCACAGCCTTTAATAAAAGCCAGCCTTTGACTCAACCTTTTGCTTCCAGTTGGATTGGTTAAAAATACATTTATTGCAAAAAGTTGCATAGAGCCAACCAATCAAATAGAGCTTGCCAGATCGAGAAAGTGCTTTTTTATTGGGGATGGGCGATAAAACGATAACGATAATCGTGCTTAGAATTTTCCTCGATAAAACGATAACAAGAGTTCGATAAATGTTCGATATAATGTTTATGTGCCAAAAGCAGAACGAAACAGTGCTACTCATTTAAGCCACGCCACATGGACCGGTTATCCACTCGGCTCAAAGTTCAAAACGAGCGCGAGTCTCGGTACAAGAGTACTAAACAGCGCTGTGAGATCCAGTGTGAAGTGCCTGAATTCAGCCAAGAACACAAATATAACTCGGTGATTTAAACTAGTTTAAAGCCAGATGAAACGGGTGCTGACAATAACACTGTGTGCAACAATACTATATTTTGTATCTATTGTAAGCTTTTCGAACTACAAATCACCATCATTGACCATGGATTTATTGTAGTAACAACTGCACGGTGGTATTGTGGCAAAAATGTGGGATATTCATATCGAATTTTATCATATTATTAATGCAGACATGTATTAAATGTATTAAAGGAGTAATGGAATATAATTACAGTATTTTTGTGTACTTTAGCAACTAAGAAATTAATTTTTATATTAAGATATTTATTTTGTTTAGGAAAAATAACTAAAAGTGTGAAGAATTCAGTGTGTCGTCATGTTCTGACCATAAATAGTAGTTTAAAACCACACTTAATGGTCTGGTTTCTACAGCTTTTACTGAGGAGCAAAAATCCGCCATTAAACTTGAAATAAATAAAAATTTTAAACTTATCTTGATAATTATCAGTATCGACTTAAAAGACCAAATTTATCCTGATCATTTTTTTGGCCATATCACCCAGCCCTACTTTCTAGTTGTTGTGTCCAATATGGACTGTGGGCTCCATGCATGTTGCAACTTTCTACTTAGAGGTCTGGGGAGGTCAGGTTGCAGGCTGATCTGTGTGTGTGTGTGTGTGTGTGTGTGTGTGTGTGTGTGTGTGTGTGTGTGTGGGAGGGATTCTCACATGGCTGCTTCTGAGCTTGGTCAGCGTTTAGTGCTGTGCCAGGGCCAGGGTCAGTAAACGGTTTTGGATGTGCAAGTAGCACAAGGCAAGTGTTTGTGTAGGACACAAAGGGCTTCTCTCAAGATACACCCCACCCGCCTGACCCTGTTCGGTCCTGATCTATTGGTGCCGGTTTGTTTTACTGAACTCCAGTGAGGCCAGAAGTTCTGCAAGGTGGGAGATCACACTGTCCATTTAGGCGTCGAGATCACTGCTCTCCTCACCTCTCTGGAATCACACTTCAGTTCGACTCTTTGAGATCAGAGGTCTTTTGACTTTAGAAGATGCGTGCTGAATGACCTAGTGAGATTTGACTTGCTTCGCTGACATGGTCATGTACACAACGAGGGCAAACCCAGAGCCGTACAACTAGAAATTAATGGTTCAAGATCTGGGCTAGTAGGCCTAGTAAGAGATGAATTTGCATGAAAATACCACAAAGTTAGATTAGATGCACAACATATTTTGATGTCAACAGCAAAGTGAAGTACATTTTTGTGTACTTAGATAAGCATCTATTCATTTGGATTAATATATAATTGGTTGAATGGATGGATAGATATATCCTCATAGGTTGTCCTCTGATCTCTGTCTGTAGGTGCCCACTCGAATTGCACATCTCTGCCCCTCTCCCATGGAGAGATGGTACGGCTGGATGAAGGACGCTTCCCTGCCCTGGAGCTCAACAACCGTCGACTCTCGGTCAAAAATTCCTTCTATCGTAAGAACGGAATCTACACTCGGTTAGTATGTGTACATGAATCACAATTTCCACTCATTAGAAACATATACAGTGGTATCACTTCACAGAGAGCGTACAACAGACTCGATCAGTATCTAGTGGAATAGTTGGCTCTGCTAATATAATGTTTTTTTCTGGAATTTTCTTTGAGGTAAACACTGTCAGTATGCTGTTTGGGACAGTGTTTGCACAATGGGTTTAATTCCCAAATGGCTGCAAACAAAGAGCTAGAGAGGAATGTATTTTGTCCACACATAGAGCTTTGGCTCGGCTGTTGATTTAAATTCTACTTCAGCCATCCCTTAAATGGATTGAGTTGGCATGGATTTTAATGACAGTCGCTCTTTTCAAATCTCCAACTGCAATCTGTCAGCTGAAAGAACACACCAGACTGTGAACGTTGGACCACTCAGACCCCCCTCCTTTGTGTCTTATTGACATTCAAAGTGCATTCTGTGGAAATTGACCATTTATGTAAGCTGCTTCTACAAAGCATCTTTCTTCACATTCTCTTGAGCTTAGATCAGACCATATTTATAATAGACATACCGTGTCCCCAGTAGATCAAGGACTAAGAGAACGATCTTCAAGAACCCAACCCAAAATGTCTTTTGTTGCTGCTAGCACATTTAGTCAAACGCCTTTGAAGTTATTATTTTCTTGTGATATCTACAATAAAGTGATTGATATGTAGGTTTTGTCAGTATATTGTCTGATATGGATCATAACATTTTATCCGAACATGTTTTCATGATTTTGGACCAATGACATTTCTTGGTGGGTGGATCTACCCAGTGTGATGCTGCAAAAATTAAATGACCAACCAGTTATTGCACTGGAAAAGGCTTGAGTGACTACTTTTGCTATGGTTACCACATTGAACAAGCGTGACCAGGTGACTATCTTGCATATTGTCATTAACCTTAGTGAGCCATTCTTTGAAAACTCTCATTTTCCAATGTAATATGTCAAATTAAAACAGTTTAATGCATGTGTCTCATCCTTTGAAGGAGTTCAGGTCTTAATTGGTGAGGTCAGACCTCCCCCAAACCCCACTGTAGTTTACACCATGCTCCAGGACTTCTACAGACACTTTTTTGGATTTGGACATATTTGCATGAACAGAGTGCAATAATAGTCTATGGCATTCTCATTATTCTAATGAACTGAAGGAACTTACAGGCAACTTAACTTGATTGGATGAAGGGATGGGTCTGCTTCGAGCTTCCTCTGGTGGTAATTGGAGAAGCCGCTTTGGGCCCATTATACTGGAATGTGCTGGGGGGTTTGTGCTGGTTCTCTGCCCAGATGCAGAGGCCCAGGACAGAGATCAAAGAGCCTGGGCAGTAAAGGACTTCCACTTTGGATGCAGTCCTGCTAATGAGCTCCCATCAAGATGGAGCCACAAGAGATATCTTTGATGGAGGTAGGAAAGGAAAGGGTTTGGTATGGGACGGAAGATATAGAGGCGAGAGATGAGGCTGGATAAGAAGAATGGAAGACCTCAGTGCTCGTGAATAATTGAAGCTCCTCTTTGGCTGCTGAGGGCTGTTGGGGGCTGTTTGACGTGGTTCCGCCTCTCTGCTTCAACCTTCCTCAAACCTCAGCCTCCTCTGAATTTTAAACAGATACAATGTCATAACCCTCCCCTCCCCCTGGTTCTCTTGCTTTATTCCCAGGGGCATGATTTTTGTTGGGACAACCCCTCCACCACCAAGGATTTCCATTAGTATACAGCTCGCGCATGGTCCTCTTGTTCATTTTGAGGTTGAACAAAGCATCCTGCGTTTCGCCCTTGAGTCCGTTGGCCATGTTTTTTATGAACTCTCTTGCATATTAGATATGCCTTTACTCATTAGCTCCCCGCATGGTTCTTTAAAGCCTCTTCCCCGTGTGTGTTATTTCAGCTTGATTTATAAGCCAACTGAAGTAAAGTACTGAAGCAGGGCAGCTTAGCAGCCTCAGTTCAAAAGCTAATGTCTCCAGTGACCTTGACTTTGAGCATATCAGACCTCATTATGGCAAATCAAGAAAACCCATCCTGCCATACGGCGATCCTTCTGCCTTCCTTTTTAACAAACAAGTGAACTGGTTCAAAGAAGTACAGTCCAACCCCCTGTAGCCCTGTAGTTTCTCCTGGACTGCGCAGAATGAGTGTATTCATCCAATCAAAATCAGCTTTGAGAATTGATCCATGAGGATGCTGCATCATTTGGTCTTTATGAGTTCCTTGTGATGTTTTTTAAACCCCTACACAGTCTAGTCCACACTAAACGGATTTTTTTTGTATCCTGTCTGTATCAAAGAAAAGCACCATGCAAAATGAAAGAGGTCCATTTGATTTGTGTGTTAAATTTCAAGTCTTTTGAAAACATGCAGTTATTTTGTGTGAAGAACAGGACGAAATTACTTGACTTTGGAGTGTTGCAACCGGTATTGATGGTATTAACTATGATATATATAAAATAAGTATTGATATCATGTTAGTACTACACGTATGATAATATTGTAAATAACCCAGCAGCAGTATATGTGGTGGTATTTCACCATGGATTTTCACGCTGGTTGCCATCCCTCATAAAATCGAGCGAAGAAGAAGAAGGCGACAACTCAATTTGTTGCTACCACTGCCACACAAAATCATGTTGGAGGAGATGAAAAGGGATGATTCAGCAAAAAACTAATTTGGCTGTATCATATGTGACCCTGGACCACAAAACCAGTCATAAGTAGCACAGGTATATTTGTAGCAATAGCCAAAAATACATTGTATGGGTCAAAATGATCGATTTTTCTTTTGTGCCAAAAATCATTAGGATATTAAGTAAAGTTCATGTTCCATGAAGATATTTTGTAAATTTCCTACCGTAAATATACCAAAAATGTATTATCATTAGTAATATGCATTACTAAGGACTTCATTTGGACAACTTTAAAGGCGATTTTCTCAATATTTATATTTTTTTTTTTTTCAGATTCCAGATTTTCAAATAGTTGTATCTCGTCCAAATATTGTCCTATCCTAATAAACCATACATCAATGGAAATCTTATTTATTCAGCTTTCAGATGAAAATTACCCTTATGACTGGTTTTGTGGTCTAGGGTCACATATGTATATATTTTTAATTTTATTGATATTTTGGTAAGTGTGTTATTGTAAGTATCTTTTTGGCCACACTAATCGCGTCATGAAAATCTGATATCTTGACAGCCCTAATTTGATGTAAAAAAATCCATTTTGGGTGAACTAACTCTTTAACATCAGAGATTATATTGTTACTAATCACAAAACGGCATATGTTGATTATGAGTGAATAGTAAAGTTTTCTCTGTGTGTTCTTCTTCTAGATCTCCACCACGACCCAGTCCAGGCAGCCTGCACTATTCTGATGAAGATGTCAGCATCAAATACAATGACTTGGTCCCAGCCGAGAGCAGCAGCCTGACCGAGAAGCCTTCAGAAGTGTCTGACTCACAGGTGATTCACCCCAACAAGGTCAATGATTTTCTTAAAATAGTTTTTCTGATGTTATCTGGAATCTAAATTGGCCCTGTTTACTTTTGTAAACTGTTATTATTATGAACGTATTGGCCATGATTCATCAGTGCATGTTATTGCAAATAATAATCTTTAATGAAAACCTAATAACTTCTTCTGCCTCTGAAACGGCTTTCTGCTTTTGGCTGACAGCAGAAATCCCTCATACTCATCAGCCCCTCCCCCCAACCGCCTGACTAAATTTTGGTATAAAATTCCCACTATTCCAAATTCAGTCAATCGCTAAAGGATACAATCAGATCCTGCCTTACATCTGTCTCAATGAATATCCCATTTCACTCGTAAATGCACAGGGTTTGCACATGTTTGCTTTTGTCAGTAGGCTTGTGGATGTTATTTAACATTTTAAATGAAGTGTTTAACATACAAAACACTAAAGACCACTCCCCACAGGAAAGAAAACCCACCAAAGAGCTCTTTTAACATCTGAATTGTTTCTCTTAGACAGTAATGAGATTAAATGGAGAGCAAATGGAGATGTTTGCTTAAGTCTTCTGCCTCTCATGCTTCTCCTGAGAAAAAGACACTAGTAATCTTACCTGACTCCCCCTGAGACCATTCCTGTTACTGTAAACAGTTGTCTCAGTTGTCTAAATTTTAAAGGAATTAAAAAAAAATATTTGAGACAAAGTTGAAACATAGAAGCTGAGAACTCCATTAAGTCTCTTGAAATGCTATGGAAATCAGAAAATGTTCCTATGGGCCTCCAAAATGCCATTTCTTTTACATTGAACTATTTCTGCAAATACATGAAATGAATGATGATAAGAATGACCTTTCTTTTGCAAACCAATGCAGTTCATCTCATTCCAGGCCAGTGGTCTCATTTCTATGCATTGCTCCAGGAAATTGTTTAAATGAATTCTCATGACTGAAATGTCCCTGTCATAACAAATAGTGTAACTTTTTATGCAACAGGAAGTATGATGTAGGATACTAGAATCTCTCTCGTGAATTTTCTTCATGTTTGCAGTATCTGTCTCCATAACTATGAAACTAGAGCTTAAAGTGTCATGGGAATTTGTGAATCTTTTGGCCCAAGCTGTGAGAAAGTAGGGGGCACTCCTCTTGTTTGAGCATTTGTCTCTCCTCCCACAATCCCACTGGGAGATTTTTGCCTGTTTGTCAGGTACCGATACTGTCATAACATTACTCCGTCAAAGAAACCCTCCCACCATGCCACACTTTAGCATAATGTCACAGTAAACAAGCGATATGACTCTTAATTTAGACCTTCTCTGACACAAGACAGCTGGTGTACAAATACAATCCATGCAGAGGGTTTTTCAGAATCATTTGTCATCATTAAACATCCTGATTTTTGTTTTGTCATCTATGAGGCTCTGTAAATAACATTTTTGCCCTTTCAGGAGACACTTATGTTTTCATTTCAAGATAATTGCTCCTCTGAGTTTCGGGTGAGGCTGTAGTTTGTGTTAGTAGTCTAGAAGCTTATAGGAATCTGTAGAGTATAGTCTGAACCCTCGCTCATATCCTTCTAATTAAAACAGTAGTTCTTCCGTAAATGATATTTAATGATTCTTTTCTCACCTAATGTCATTCCAAACCTGTATGCTCTTATTTTTTGTGGATCTTATGAGGAGAATGTTTGAAAAGTCTTCATGCAGCTCTTTTCCATAAATAACAACAGTCCATAGTGAGCATCAAGCTCCAAAAAGAATGAAAAACAATCTCAAAAAGTCTATAAAAAATATATAAATATAATATAAAATATAAAACTATATACTTATACATACATATACAGCATACAACTTTTTAATGAGGGTAAGTAACGGTTTTGAGGTAAATTATTCTATCTAAAAGGAATATGAAATAATATGTCATTTTTAGGGCTGTCAAAAAAAAAATCGAATTTCGAATAATTCGTCGAATGTAAAATAAAAATCCACATTCGAATGCAAAAACGTTGCACGAGATGCGATGACGATGTAAGTGTCATTGCATTTTAACAGTTGAACCCACTAGATGCGGCGCTGCTACGTTGTTCATTCAAAATATTGCGGGAAAAAAGAACATCAATGCGGAGATGATGTTGTTTACGTCAAAACCGAAACCAAACCGTTCACACAGAACGCATATTCATCACATTTTCTAGAGGGACGTCTATCACCGTTGTGCGAGACGCACAAGAGAGCCGCATGTTTAGAAAGCCATGTAAAATGAATGTAAGTTCAACTTTTTAAAAACATGTCTCAAGACTTTATGGCAGTTTTCCCCCATCCTACTGCATCTCAAATTTTTAAATGAAGAAAGTACTCTTTGTGATTGGTTTTCGGGTCCTTTGTATTAAACTATACATACAAGCATGATTCTGTTTTGTTTCTAATTGTTTAAGCAACTTAAGTACACAATTCGAATTTAGTTTTTCAGCCATTTTGACAGCCCTAGTCATTTTGTCCATCTTCATATAGCTTTTTAGAGATTTTTTTTTTTCATGATTATAGTAGTTTTTCTTTGTAATACCATTCAAATGTTGGTAAGATTTTTGAATTTTTTTTTCAAAAGAAATCTCTTATTCTCACCAAGGCTATATTTATTTGATAAAAAAATACAGTAAAACCTGAAAGTATTGAAAATATATTGCAAATAAAAAAAAGTTTTCTTTGTGAATATATTTTTTAAAATGTAATTTATTTCTGTGCTATTAAAAGCTGTATTTTCAGCATCATTACTCCAGTCTTCAGTGTCACATGATCCTTCAGAAATCATTCTAACATGTTGTTTCGCTGCTCAAGAAACATTTCTTCTTGTTATCAATGATGAAAAATTGCTACTTAAAATTTTTGTGGAAACTTTTTTGTGAATAGAAAGTTTAAAAAAAAAATTTTTCAGAATATAAAAGTCTTTACTGTCACTTTTGATCAGTTTAATGCTTCCTTGCTGAATAAAATAATGAAAAAAAAATTATTTTAGCAGAGGTTTTTATCCAAGTGGAAAAGTGCTACAATGCACATTTCCAAAATAGGCTGGAGAAATACAAGCTACTGCAGAAAGTGAAGGTGTAACAGATACTTTCTTCATTTTTTAATTACAGTGCAGCGATAGCGAATACGAATTGGATCCAAGCCGGCAGAAGACCCACTCCTTCGTCAACCACTACATCAGTGACCCCACCTACTATAATTCCTGGCGCCGGCAGCAGAAGGGTGTCTCTCGGCCTCCAGCGTACGGCTACGCCCAGCCCGACACGGTGGCGGAACAAGAGTCCCGACCCCACCCGCCCCCGCTGCCACCGTTACCACCTCTGCTGCCCGGAACAAGAGTCCCGACCCCCCCCGCCCCCACTGCCACCGTTACCACCTCTGCTACCCCACAGCAATCCATCCCCGCAGCCCCAGGGCCAGGGCACCCTGTTCAGGCCCAAGGGCAGCCGGACTCCCACCCCGTCACTGCTGACCTCTGACAACCACAGCCAGCACACCCTGTACAGGCCCCCTAGCAGCCTGGGCACCTCCGCCCAGGTCCCAGCCACGGGATTCTCCTCATTTGTTTGATACAAGACTCTCATTCCAATGACAACACGCCTGGGAGGGACTCCTGCAGTATTATTGGTCTGTAATTACTTTTTCTTTTTTTCCCGCTGCACCTTGTTGGACATCAAGAGCTGCTTTTGGATTTCATTTTGCCAGGTGTGCAGGTGTACTGTGGGTTTTTATGTGCGTGCAAGAGCATCGAAACGCAAACAATCATTCTGAAGGGAATCGTTTGTTGATTGTACATTTTAAAATACATTAGCTTCATCCTTCACTGAAAAAGACATTTTGTGTCCAAAATGTTTTTAAAAAACGACAAATATGACGTGACCGCATATACAGTGGAGTCCAAAGGTTTTTGAGACCATCTGGAGTTTTCTGTTTTCTTTGTAATTTTTCAAGTTTCATTTAAGTTTTAGTATGTTGAAATATTTAAGATAAAAGAAAAGACAAGGCCAACGGTCTCATACTGTTGGACCCCACTGTAAATGTTTCTCCTCATTTGTTTGATACAAGACTCTCATTCCAATGACAACACGCCTGGGAGGGACTCCTGCAGTATTATTGGTCTGTAATTACTTTTTCTTTTTTTCCCGCTGCACCTTGTTGGACATCAAGAGCTGCTTTTGGATTTCATTTTGCCAGGTGTGCAGGTGTACTGTGGGTTTTTATGTGCGTGCAAGAGCATCGAAACGCAAACAATCATTCTGAAGGGAATCGTTTGTTGATTGTACATTTTAAAATACATTAGCTTCATCCTTCACTGAAAAAGACATTTTGTGTCCAAAATGTTTTAAAAAAACGACAAATATGACGTGACCGCATATACAGTGGAGTCCAAAGGTTTTTGAGAAACATCTGGAGTTTTCTGTTTTCTTTGTAATTTTTCAAGTTTCATTTAAGTTTTAGTATGTTGAAATATTTAAGATAAAAGAAAAGACAAGGCCAACGGTCTCATACTGTTGGACCCCACTGTAAATGTTTAAACAAACTGCATTTCACATAATGCTGCAGATTTCCAAAGCTCATCTCTTTCATTCTGTTCATGTGATATTGCTCTGATGTCATTCACGCAGAAATCAATGACAGAATGTTTCTAGAAAGCAAAAATATTGCAAAACTGTGATTTTAGTAGCGTCAGTCTATTTAAACGGAAAAAGAGAGAGAATTTTCAACTCCTTAGAAAACAGACTTTCTCACACTTGAAATATGTAACCATAACCCGGGTTATATGTCTCACATTTTACATTATTCATAATGTACGTGTTAATAATTAATCATATTATTCATAAACTGGCATTTCATACAGCACATTCCTAAATCCTGGGTTAATGTCACTATCAGTGTCACTGATTGGACAAACGCAGCACACAACCTGTTTACATAATGGCTTTAGCATTGCGCATCCTCATATATTGCAGACTGCACTATCAAGTTTTTCTGAATGGACTTTGCAGACTATGAAGGTAAGAATAAAGCAATCCCTTCAATCCAATTCACTTGTTTTCTGTCACCATTAGACATTTTCCGCTGAAACGACTCTTATATAGCTCACAGTGTTTCCGTGACAGTCAAAAGCATTTGAATATGAGACATGCGATCAGGTTTTAGTTGCTAACATTCTAATGCAGCAACTTTACATGGTTGACACCGTAATGCAGAAAATTAGGGTTTCATAATCACAAGTAAAAATCGTTGCTGCTAACTCTGCTTCAAAATTACAACGTACCTTTACGTGGGTTTAAAAGGGGTGTTCAGAATATGATACCCAGGGTGACGCGCAGTGTAAAAAGCCATTTTGAGGAGGAAAAAGTATGGAATTTCTGTAGGATTCATGCAGGACAGTTTTTATTTCTTTTTTGCTTACTATTTGCTTATGTCCAGCCAAGGAGAGGCTGCAAAGGATAAGGCCTGTGTCATTATTTTCATCCTATTTTGATACATTTGGAATGGAAATTTGACTCATTATGTGACTAAATGCATTTTTTTTCTACATGATTTATCGTCAGTATTGGGTCAATGTTTTTGTACAGTTTGTTGAGGATCGCCACCCATTAGTTGGTGCTACCATCATCAAACTTCAGTTTTCAAACCCATGGACAAAAAAGAAAGGGTTATGTCACTTTTCATGGAAAATACCCTATTCCCAAGATATAATCAAACAATGCAAAATATATTGATGTATTAATCATGCATTTGCATTAAGCAAAGTGTAACAAATGTGAATTTGTGCCAATATCAGTCTCTGAGAGAGTTTTTCTGCTTCTTAAACCAACTGAACACTGAGAAGCAGAAAGGGAAACGTAATTTTATAGCGATATGGAATTTCAATACAAGGCCACTTGCATTTATGTTAGCAAATGATGTCTCATCTATAATGTCCTCGAGGATATAATAATGCGTTTGGAAAAAGAAAATAATGAGTATCTTAAAGGTATATTTTACCCCAAAATTGTGTCATTTACTCACCCTCAAGTTGTTCCAATCCTGCATGAGTTTCTTTCTTCTGTTGAACACAAACAAAAATATTTTGAAGAATTTTGGTAACCAAACAGTTGACGGTAGCCATTGACTTCCATAGTATTTTTCCATACTATGGAAGTCAGTAGCTACCGTCAACTTTGTTTACCAACATTCTTCAAAATATCACCTTTTGGGTTCAACACACACACACACACACACACAAAATGAGTAAATGATGACAGAATTTGCAGTTTTGGGTGAACTATCCCTTTAATAATACTCACGCGATTAAGAATGATCACTCAAAATGTCTGTGCACATGCAAATGTGTACGCAGCAGTGTAAAGATACTGTGTGGGTCAATATCTTCCATAGGTAGTGCACATGAAATCTTCATCATTAGCATACGAGCTTCACACTGTGTCTGTTGATTTTGTACAGATGAGTCAAAAACATCATCGAGTCAGTCTCACGTTCGGGAACCGTTGCTCAGAGACTGATAAAAATGTCTGCTCTTTCAAATGACATTGTATGTATTTCTCTGAATATATTGTAGAATGTGTTTTTACAGTTCACATTTTGACATAGTGTACACATACAGTATGCTTCCGTGTATGTCAGCAGATATGCTTAATTTATTTATAATCGATTGGTTTTATACTCTAACTTAAGAAGAACAGCAGCAGTCTTATGTGGAAACTATTTTAAAGGACTTGAAAACTACGCTGATCATGATTCACAATATCTCCTGTCTTGTTCTCTGTGAGGTGACTATCACTGTACAAAACTTGCTGAATTATATTGGACCAAGGCATGGTTCATATCTAAAATAAATTACTCTATTTTTCAGTGTTTTTGTTGATGTCTTGCTTTGGCTTTTGAAGGTTCAGAATTTTTATTTATTTTTTTGTCATTTTCTTGAGGGAAAATGTACAGTAACATTCTATTTACCAAAGGCTTGTGGTCGGTAAAATGTTAAATATTTTTGAAAGTCTCTTATGCTTATTCAAAGCTGAATTTATTTGATAGAAAATACAGTAAAAACAATAATAGTGTCAAATACTATTACAATTTAAAATAACTGCTTTGTATTTGACTATATTTTCAAATTGAATGTATTTTTGTGATGTAAAGCTGAATTTTCAGCATAATACTCCAGGCTTCAGTGTCACGTGATCCTTCAGAAATCATTATAATATGCTTTGCTGCTCAAGAAACATTTCTTATCATTCTCAATATTTAAAACAGTTGTGTTGCTAAATAGTTTTGTCGAAACCGCTCTCCTCCACATCACGAGTAGACACGCCCCTTATTGCTGATTGGCTACAAGTTTGTTTTGCGATTCGGCCCGAATCAGTTTTCTAAAGTGTTTTTGAAAAATCACATACCCTGCCTTTAATATTTTCAGGATTCTTAGATGAACAGAAAGTTTAAAGGAAATGCATTTATTTAAAATAGAAATATTTTGTAACAATGTAATAGTCATTACTGTTACAAGGAATATAGTATATATAGGATATAAGAAATATATTTTTTAAAAACACAATAATGTAATTTTACTGTGAAATACTGTAGAAATTGTTTTGTAGAAGTAAAACGTATTAAATATAACCACATTAGATTACATAAATTGCTTATTTTTAATTTTTATGTATATATTAATATTTTACTTATTTTATTTATATAAATATATAACTTTTTTGAATATTTATTATCAGTAATGTACATTATGGGGTTTTGTGTTCTATTTGCATAATTTAGTTGATGTTTACTACATTATTTTAGTGTCTTGTGTTTGTGTGGCAACACTGTGCCCGGTCTAAACATGTTTTTTTAACCATAGTTCATGGAAAGTCCAGGTTTTCAGCATATATAATATAATATAATATAACAGACACACACAGCAGCCAGTTTTACAGTAAATTTTGGCTATTATAGTGCTAGTCAATAACTAGGGTATATATTTTAGTCTCATTTAATGCATGACTCTACTTGTTTTGACATTGAAAAGAAAAGAAAGAAAAAAATCGTTTCAGCAGCTCTTGCCTCATTCCTCTGCAGCTACAGTGGAGATAGATTTGGGCCAGATGAGAATGGGTAAGTAAGCACTGAATCATTCAACATCCGAAGAAACTGAGCTTAGATGTGGGAGAGTTCGCCTGGAGATAATCTCTTTATTCCAGGCCGGAAAGCATCGATCTGGACATCAGGGGGTAAGAGCAGAGATGTCACAAGAGAGATGAGAAATAATAACCCAGTAAGGAGGAGAGGCCAAGCTTATAGTGTGGCCTACGCAGACAAAACCCATCAATAATCATACCTACAAACATTACAAGTATGCTTTATCAGTATATGAAAATAAATCAACACATATATAATGTTAAGGACAGTAACTGCATGATGCAAGATGCAAGATTGTGACTATCAGACTTTCTCAATGTACTGTCTGTCACATTGTTTATCCAAT